TAGATGATAATGATAAGTTTAAAAGATTTTGATTGTGTTTAATGATAAGTTTAAAAGATTCTAACCGTTTTCTAGATAATATATTATTTCCATTATTACCCTTTTAATTTTAATTTTTTTTGAATCTTTTTAAATTTTAATTTTAATTTTAAAAATCTTTTAATTTTATTTTTTATCACAATATGTGGTTATTGTCTGTGTGTGTAATGTGGATTGAGTTGGGTCATGTGAGGTATATACATTGAGACGTTTATAATGATATAAATAGCAATACTTTTTTTAAGGGAAGCAAATATATTAAATAGAAAGAAAGAGGAAACAAAAGAGAGTCCCAAGAAACTACAAGATGCAGACCCACAAAGAAACCAATTAGCTAAAAAAACTGGAAAAGGACTACAACAACAACAACAAAAAAAGCCGCAAAAACGAAAAGAAAAAAGAACACAACTCACAAACAGTCAAGCACCGAAGCCAACCAAAACCCAAAACAAAGCAAGGGCAATGGTCGACAAACCCATGACTCCCACACCACTCCGTCCATGACAATTTGAAGCCTTTTGTTCGCTTGTAAATCCAATGAAATGACCGATGTTGTAGAGCAAAAAACAGATCAATTTGACCATTCAGACCGTCCGTAAAGACCTTTTTGTTTCGATGGTTCCATATTAAATATAAAATGCTCCATAGTACCGCCTTCCAAAGGTGACAGCCTTGAGACCGGAATGGAAGGTGAGTTTGAACTAGCCAACAGATCGTCCAACGATGTAGACGGGGACAAAGACCGTCCCCACCAATTAAAAACTTTTCCCCACAAAGAAAAGCTATAAGGGCACTTCAATGTAGGGGTGGCAATTGGTCAGGTTGGATTGGGTTCGGGTTCAACTCATTTATTAAACATGTTGAAAATCTCAACCCAACCCATTTAATTAAATGGGTTGAAATTTTTCAACCCAACCCAACCTGTTGGGTTAATGGGTTGATAGCGGGTTGATCTGTTTACGATTTTCTTAACCCAACATGTTAAATAAATAGGTTGAACCTGGGTTGACCTATTTAATTTTAAAATTTTAAATAAAAAAAGAACTAGAGTATTTAACTTTTTTGAATAAAACATAACACAATCACAAATACAACCAAATTGTTTAAAGTTTGAATAAAACATAACCACAACAAATATATTGTTCAAAATAAGTTGAAATTTTTTAAATTCTAAGTAACTCGACTTCCACTTTCATCAACCCCAATTTCACTCTCGTACCTAAAATCCTAAGACCATTAGTCCATCAGCAAGTGTAATCCATGCGTACAAAACAACAACTTATATGTAGCTTGTATAATTATCTCAATGATAACAATTATTTATGAGGTATAAGTACAGTGATAGAAATAGATAGCCACACCACACAAATAACAAATTCAAACTTGAAAGAAATCACTAAAGTTCAATAGAGTCATAAAGTAACAAATAATCAAAGAGAAACATGAAATTCATATGATCTATATGAAGTTTAACAACAAAATACTAAACAAACAAACATGATCATAAAGAACATACTATGCTATCGTTCAACAACGCCTCAAGCCCTCAACCTCAAATCGGAAACTGAAAGTTTGAAACCAACCCAATTCTTTGATTGGAGAAGGTAGAACTCAAAAGAAGGGGAAAAGATTGATAATCGAAGCGTATGAAGATTGAAGAATCGAAGGCAAAGCGTCGAGACTCATGATATTGATTAGTAATGAAGCGTATGAAGAATTGATTATTGAAGGATTGAAATCGAAGAGTCATCATGAAACTTGGGCCAATTTATTTAAGAAGAACAAAATAAAAGTTAAAATAGATATAATATTAAGAATAAAATAAATTTATATAATATTTTAAGTGGGTTGAAAACGGGTCAAAAAATTCAACCCAACCCAACCCATTTATTTAAATGGGTTAGACGGGTTAACCTATTTATTTAAATGGGTTGAAAATCTCAACCCAACCTGCTAATTCTAGGTTGGGTTCGGGTTGGGTTAATGGGTTGGGTCATTTTTTGCCACCCCTAACTTCAATAGACAATGTTTGATGGTTTCCTCCGTGTTGCCACAATAAGGACAAAGGATGAAGTGCAAGTCAATACCTTTGTCATGGAGAAGCATTCGGCACAGAATCCTCCCCAACGAAGACGCTAAATAAAGATACAAATCTTCTAAGGCTCACAAGAGCTCCAAAGAGTAGGCATGAGAGTCCCAAAAACCTGCAGAATTTTATCTTCCATCAGAAGTCTTAAGCCTGCGGCCAAAAAGACTCTATCCTTTCCAAGCCACCAAACCCAACAATCCCTAACATTAGACCTAATAGAAACATTACTAAGCAGCGATTTCAATTCATCCAAGTCACCAAGCGCTCTCCCTCGAGGGGTCTAGACCATTCCCATAGGGATGGTAATGGGGCGGGGACCCTAATCCCCGTCTCAGTCCCCGATCCCTGATCTTTGTCCCCGTCCCCATCCCCACCGGGAAATTTGATCACATCCCCGTCCCCTTCCCCAACAGGGAAACAGGGATTTTTTTTTTCCTTGTTTGTGTACAAAAAATTAAATCAAATGTATGAGACGCTACACATGTTTAAACCTCACATTTTTCCAATAAACCTAAAATCAAAGGGAATTTAATTTAATACAAAAATATACGTCATCATATAATAATTAATAAATCGAAAACAAAAAAAAAATTAATCTAAAAAAATTAACGTCACTTGTTCCAAAACATATTAAGTAATATCCAAAACCACATATAATAATATCCAAATTATATTGAAATAGAAATACTATTTACCGATTTAATAGAAATAATTAATTAATATATATATATATACACACACACAGGGGTGCGGGGCGGGTGGATCGTGTTCCCCGACAATTCCCATGCCTCAGTTCCACGATCCGGCAGATTAGCTGTGCGAGTGCGACCAAGGCCGGTCCTAAGATTTTTGATGTCCTGTGCGAAAAAAAAAAAAATGCCCCTAAACCTATTTTTTTAAGCCAATGAAACATGCTATTTTTTTAAAGAACTTAGAACCTATTCAAGCTAAGTGTCTTATCCTCATGTTGATTTTTATTAATTATAATAAAAAAATACAATGGGGGGTACATAAAAATAAAAACCCCGAATATAGAATATAGAATGGGAAAAGGATAAATTCTGGATTAAGATCGTGCTTCCTTCTTTTCCAATTTTCCCTTTTTCCAAATTGAAATTAGCATAATAGATATTTTATTTCAATATACGAGACTTAAAAGACAAGGCAAATTATAATTAGTTTTTAACTAAAATAATAAATTACATCCAAATTACTATCATAGTAAGCGAAAAGTAAAAGTCAAAAATTA